ATTCTGTAAACTGCATGTGTTTTACGGTGAATGATATTGTAGCATGTGATTAGATAGACATTAATGATAATAAACTATCATATAAAGATATATAAACATCTACACACAGTTCACATGTTCCGCTTCAGTTCCATATCTTACAGACATTCAGTTATAGAAATTCCTGCTATACCTAGATAACACTCTCTTTGACCACCATGCAGTTTAAAAATGTCTATTACGTCACAGAAATTTGAGTTCATGCAGAACTAACGCTGTTTCTAGTTCTAGTGGATAAGTCCACAAAGGTCGTTAACTGGAAAAAGACAGTCGTCAAACAGCGGACATGTGTTAGTGCTAATCCTTATTAGTTGGAGCATGAAAAGATCCCGGGAGTTCTTTCAGACGGAAATGGCGGAGGAATGGAAGCCTAGCGCGTGACGTTGTCAGAAATGGCGGTATATTTGATATATGAGTATTTAGTTAGAGATCATTATATAACACAACTGTGTTGATGACACTTAGTAACAGTAGGGAATATTGACAAGTAAACTTGTCATTATTTACTTAATAGCTTTATGAACTCTTTATTTTTAAACAAAACGTGTAAACCGAAATGACAAATATGCTTTTACTAATCATCGGAACTTTGCGTTTTGGATTACCATGATAATTGAATACAGAATATATAGCCAGAAGAAACACAGACAACGAAGCATTTAGATTCTATTCCGTGCGATTTTTAAACATAGAAATTGGACTTACTAATTTTGCCACCATATAATATAATAGAATATGCATTAACGCTACACGAATGTCTAAAAATATTGGGCGACAATCAAGTATTCTAGAAATAATAAAAAGTTATCTTAAGAAGATGGAGTCTTACTTTTCTTGATATAAGATTTATGTAACAAACCAAGATCTACAGCATAACAATGTGGGTTGCAGCTTCTGAGATAATTTTAGCTATACCAACATTTTTCTCCTTGAAACATGCGTTGTGAAGAAAAAAAGGCGATAGATCACTTGTTTAGATATATTCGACATATCTTAGACAAAGCTAATCTCCATCAAGAATGATAATAATGTCATAAAAAATGATGAATATGTAGATGAATTGAGAAAGGTGTGAAAATATTGGCATGTATATTAATATTATTGTTGTAGGAGAATAAATAAACTAATGTACAATTAATACCAGTATATATGATATATAGACAATCATTCATGTATATTCTGGCATTCAATGTTCTTCTTACACTGAATGGCACTTTTTATTGGCTATTTTGTACACGTAGAGTCACTCTCTAAATTAAAGTAACGGTCTTCATTAACCAACAGCATACAGAAAAATATAACGCTTATAAGACTAAATAAACCCAATTTCCTTAATTTTATGTGACGTTGTTTCCCATTTTTCCCATTAAGTGTGTTGTATGCTTTCTTTTGAATATGTAACGGTAAGTATTTGATTCTATGCACTAAAGAAAGCATTGTTACTAGAATACGAAAACTTTACCTGGTTTGAAACATCAAGGAATGTTGTCGCCTACAAAATCATGATTATAGTATGTTTAGTTTAGATGTGCATCCTTTGATAATGTCGTTGCATTATCTTACACTACCCAAATTTATGGAATAACATTGAAATTTGGACAACACCAGTCAACATTTATAGTTTTTGTCCCGAAGAATAATTAACAATAGAATGGAGTACAACATCAAAGAAAGAGACCTGCCCTTTTCGAACTCTGTAATACTCACAGTGTTTTAAGTGCAAGAAGGAAATTCTTAATGCTTCTGACATTTCCATTCTTTACCAGAAAATATCACAAACTTATATTCACATTATATATTTCTTTGATAAAAAGGGTAAATACAAATGCACTCTATCTACCAATGTGCTATTGATGAAAGCAACGTCACACAATAATATTACTCAGATCAACTAGGTTCAATACTAGATTTCAGTTTACCATCATATTACAAGATATGAGACAGCAAATTACCATATTTAAAATCAGAATAAAGCAGACCCAGTTTCGAAGGTGAGGAAACCATAAAGTTTTGAGGAGAGATTTTGACTTTCAGTACTAAATATTTTTTATGTCATGAAATACTAATGTGTTTTACCAAGTTTCAATTAGGTATTGTTGTTTGATATATTAATATTTAATAAATTTTATTCATGAGGAATTGATATTGATCCAATACGCCTACGACAGTTTTCCGAGCCATTGAGTCATAATAAATACAAGAACGACAGACAATAACAATGAATGGAATGAATTTTGAAGGAGTTTTTTGGTGCATCGTACTCAAATACACCCCGTAAATCAGAAGCAAGAGGATCAATAGCCCACTATTCGGTACATGTTCGGGGAAAAAAAGTTACAAATATATTAAAGGATCCAAATTATACTTCCCTCCCCAAAAAAGTTTAATTCCTCTTTTTGAAACTGACTATTTGAGCATTGGTTTAAAGTATCAAATATTATAATTCTTTGGACACGCCAATGACATGCAACGAAAAATGATTCTTTGAATATATGAGAAATGACCGGAAAAATTAAATCCAATTAGTTATGATTTTAATTAATAGGTCAAACGAGAAAGTAGGCCATTTAAAAGCACATACAACACGTGATGGTCTCAACACAGGTCCGGAACTAAATCTTTTAACATCCTTCTGAACTATTTCGTTCTTCCACGTGTCTTGTGAATAATATTTGATATATAAGATAAATTTTGGCACAAGAAATATTGAAACAACTGTCGAACACAATGCTTTAAAATACAATACAAATATACCTCAGATTTCCATACAAGACTGTATGGGATATATTTTACCAACATGAAAGTATGTTGAACTCAACTGAAGTAGGCAGTAAAGTCAGTTTTGTGGAACGAAACGGTGTCGATTTCAGCCTCCTGCTATACTTCTATAGACCGTCATTATGAGGCTCAAATTTCATTTTGATGGGAGGTGGTGACAGAACCAGTAAAACCCGCCAAATCTCACAACTTCTCGCTTCTTCTCACCGAATTCTAATTGACAACGACAAGCCAACACGAACACGTCAAAATCTTTTCATCTAAACCAGCTACTTAAACTTTTATCTACAACCATATTGGAATCATTTAGTCTAGTATAGCTAATTTACTGACGTGTTAGAAGGTAATTTGTAAAACAATAGATATATTACTTTGTTACAGTAGAAATTGTAATATTCAACTGTTATCACAGCCTACAACATATTGTACATACAGGTAAGTAGCATTTTAAAAATAACTTTTTTGAGCTTCATAATATTAACGAAGATGCAAATGGTTTAAGTACCAAGCCGTATGTACAGCCTTTTGAAATTGTTTTTTATGGTTATCACTAATGAAAAACTGTACTTTCGTTCAGATAACAACAAAATCTAAAGTATCTCAATACGAGAGACCAATCTAGACAATACTTTGGATCAAATCTGCTGTCATATTGATAAATTCCGTCATTTTGTAGAAGAGAACAGACATAATTGTGAATCGTAGAAAGCATCTGGTAGATTCAGTAAATATAAGACACTATATAGTTTGTTCTTCAATTATTCAACCGGAAATTCTCATGCCCTCCAACAATTTATACTTTATTTTCATGTTTTTTATCACTATTAGGTTTATGTATGGTATTGCTGTTTTTTTTATATACATTATGTATTTAAAGAAACATATAAACTTTATTTATTAAATTAAAATCTTAGTTGAAAACGTGTTTATGTTAGGAAACTACAACTGTGAGACTGTGGATTAGCATGCTTCAAAATACTTTTAAAATATGGATATCGTAGTGTAATGAAAAGATTGAACCATTGGTGGTTAGGATTCCATTTTATAAAGAAGGGTGGGATTTGTAAGATTACACCATGTGTTAGAATTTAGATCCATAATCAAGGATATCATAAATCTGAAATTAAAACATGGGAGAATTAAAGTTTTAAATTAAAATCGTGTTCTTGCATTGGAGCATAAAACGTTTAAACTTTGATTTCTATAACATATACTGAAAGGCACAAGAAAGATTAGGTTAAGATTCATTGAATTAGAGCATGAAAACATAAGATTTCTTGAAATAGAACACGAAAGATTTCCTAGTTAAGATTTCTTGAATTAGAGCACAAAAAAATTCGAAGTTAAAATTTTGTGAATTAGAGTATGATAGAATTAAACTTATGTTTCCATAGAGCAGGTTAACTAGATTATGGAAGGATGCCCTTTTCGGTTCAAATTCAATCCTATGTTGATTTAAAGTAAAACTAATAAATAATGACTACTATATTTCTATTATTTTCAGATTGATATCGGTGGAGAAAGAAAGATAGATGTGGATTTAATACCGTACTCACTTCAAATATCTCAAAGATTGTTTTCAAAATCTGCTAAAATCATCAGCAGTCGAGTTTGAGATTCGGTCAACCGCAGGGGGGCAATAGTAGTTGTAATGAGGTCCCACAGGAGTAATATCCCTACGCTGGTTTGATGGATGGAATCTCTGCTACTGTGACAAGGTACCAATAAGAATATTTAAGTAATCACCGAGGGGTGCCGAGTGGAACGACTATATTAAACCATTGTTTCACCACTACATTAGTCTAGAGCAGTAAAGACAAACGACTGAAGCATCTGGAAAATTCATTTAGTTGGTTGATGATGTAGAAGTGAGGAACTACACTAGAGTTTGTGATTAAAACTGACAGAAAAGATTTGAAGGGTAAATTGTAGGAGATTATTTGTGACGTTTAGTACTGATTAGTGATGGGTATATTATAAATTAACAACTTTAATATTTTTTACAGTACTTTTATCAATCAGATATTGCTGATTCTCTTTTGGATTTTAAAATAAATACTCATTTGGATTGTGATATTACTGATATAGAATTAGTGTGTTATTGATGAATTCGTGTTAAGTAATGTTCTAGTGATCAAAAAACGATTTGAATCTAATCATCAGTGACTAGAGAAAGCTATAAGATGGAAGATCCAGAGAGAATGAATGCTCGCTCTAATCAAAGTTTTACCAATTATAATATGAGTCGATTCATACAGAGACCCAACCCATTTGACTGTATGCATAATGGAATGGGAGTTAGTGGAAATTTAGGATATTCTTCTTATCCTCCAGAATGGGGATTCATGCACGGTTCATATCCATCCAATATTAATACTGAACGACATTCAAGATCCCCGGTTCCGTATCATCCGCCTATGAATAAAGACTATGGTTTATCAAATGGACTAACAAATAATTCTTACCCCTCACCGCCCGGGGGTAGGCCAAATTATGATTCTACACCTACTTATAATAATATCAGTAATTCACCGCCAAGACAAACAACATGTATTACCCCAGAATTAGATAGAAAAGATAAACAACGAGGTATGTTGTATTATTTATTTGTATTAAATTTATTTTTTCAGTACCCTTTCAAATTTATATAATCGAGTATGCAATTATATTTCACAGTTTTTTTTTATATTATATATAATTGTATAATATTATGCCTATATTCATAAAATTTAATGATAAATGAATATTTATTGCGTCTTTATTTCATGTTTATAAAAATATCAAAACTGTTTTGAATATTATAAAATGTTACAAAATACGTCATTAACATAATATATGCAAAATATGTTATTTAAACAAAAAATCAAGTCACGTTAACGTGACAATGGGTGTTCTTAAAGTATTAAAGCAGAACAAAAAATTCTTGAAGAAATATTCCATGCCTTTGTTATTCGATATGTTGTTTTGATGAAAATATATTACTTTTGACGGGATATTTTTTTTCAAGAATTATTTAGGGAAAGTCTACAGTTTTATAAATACTGAACATTTTAAGTTACATTAATATTATCCAAGACAATTTTATATTACGTTGAATAAAAATTCCCTTCTTTCCAATAATTAAATCGTTTTTTTCTTCTTAAATTTTGATGGTTGATTTATTTGTGATGAAGCATGTATGAATCTCTAAATTGAATATTAGAATAAAGCATATGCAATATCAATTTGAACTCAAAAAAGGAACTTTTCAGCTTTACATAATTGATTATAGATCTTATTTGACATATTTGATGATAGAACATTACATTTGAATATATTGACGAAATAACCTTAAATTCCACATAGTTGATTATAGAACTATAAACTTCGTGTAATTGGGAATAGAACTACTAATCTTATAAGATGATATAAGTTTCAATTATATACGTATTTTGCGATAGAACTTTTAATTTTACGTACTTGGTAATATAACTTTTAATCTTACGTATTTGCTGATAAAAACTTTAAATTGTACGTATATGTTGATATAACTTTTAATTATATAACTTTTAATTATACGTATTTGTCGATGTAACTTTTAATTTTACGTACTTGGTAATATAACTTTTAATTTTACGTATTTTCTGATAAAAACTTTAAATTGTACGTATATGCTGATATAACTTTAAATGGTACATATATGTTGATATAACCTTTTAATTATATAACTTTTAATTATACGTATTTGTCGATATAACTTTTAATTTTACGTATTTGATGATATAACTTTTAATTCTACGTATTTGTTGATATAACTTTTAATTATACGTATTTAGTGATATAACTTTTAACTGTAAGAAATAAATTTCGATCACGATTTTACGTATTTGATGATGGAGTTTAATTAACTTTACAGGTTGGATTTGGAGTTATAAATTAAAGCTCTTTGAAAATCTTTGAGTTCATTATATTTAGTAATAGTATCAGAAGTTATACATACAGATTCCAAAGAATGGAAAAGTTCGGTGTACATTGGAAAAAAAAAAAACAAATAGACTTTTATATATTAAAATATTCGTCAAAGGAGAGTTATATAATGTTTTAGATATTAAATTCCGAAATTGAGTCATTTTCTCATTTTATTGGAGGTCAAAGAGTAAGAAATTGGAGAAATATTCATTAAGGGAAACTGAGAAATTTCACAGAAGAAAATGAAAGAGGATCATTCTTTGTAGAGGCAAAAAATTCTCTGAACTGTCAAAGTTTTATTAATTATTTTGCACCAGATTCACTGCGTTAAAAAACCTGCAGTGAGACGTTTTTAAGAGATTTTGGCATTCTGTCTACATTTAGAATATTATCGAAAATTTTATATCTTTTTATTCATGTTGTTTATTGCTGAAAAATCATTTTGAATGTCATTGGAATTCTTGAAACATGTTTTCTTGACAGCCATCTGACAAATTTTACTACCTAAAATTAGAAATAAATTTTGAAAAAATCAAACTGGTATAACATCTTTAAATCATTGTTTGACTACTTTGTAACCGTAAGCAATGGACGCTGTAGAAATACGAGTTCTTTTTCACATGGCAACTCCGCGATTGTGCTTTTTCTTTACAGTTATCTGTACGCGTTAATATTTGTTGTAATCTATTTACATTCAAGTATTCAATTTTATTACGAAAACTCGTTCCATGAGATGTCTAACCATTGGTTAGTAAAGCTATAAATGACGTAATTAATGATTATATGACGTAATAACACGTGATGTATGTAACTATGGTAATTATATCTAATTCATCAAATGATCGTTTTAATGTGACAAGTGTAAAATTCGTTCATATAAATATTTCAGCACTTGCGAAAGATAAAAGAATCAGAATCACCTTTATCGACAGTTTCGGTCTTTGATTCTTGACAACTTCATGATATTGTGAATTACCTCTGCAGATTTACGTATAAGATACATAACTTTTTTGCAGTTCAGACTAGGCTACATCAAAATTAAATTAATAAGCTAGTCTGAGGCCTACTGCATTTAATCATTTTTCGCTCCACTACGTCATGAATTTCTCCTTTATGTATATAACAATCAAGGGAAAAGGGTATCTATGTTCAGAACGAAATGAAATTTTTTCACCATTCTGGAGGTGTGTCTGAATTCAGCAGATATTTAAATTAATCATAAAAGAAACTAGGTCAAATCTGTCATAAGGACATTTCTTATGTTTAAATGTGTGTTTCTTTTCGCAGAGAAATTTGTCTTCAGAATTACCAGGAACTTAATTTTAACAGCGTGTAATTGACTTATCTTTGATATAACTGATAACAAATTAAACCCCCTACAAATATTCTAATTTAATTATAAATTATACATAAACAGACATTTATTTGAATATTCTGACGATAGAAAAATACATACGATGAATGTTCATTAATTTTCAACCTGACCACTCATGGGTAAATAAACACTGATTACCATAATGGATATCAATAATATGTTTTTTTTTCAAATGTGCCTTATTTCACAATATTCGGATATTAACATTAAGAGAATGTCTTCGTGTCCATGGATATTGAAGGTAGGCTATAACATGATACACAAAATAAACATATAAAATAAAGTATTGCCAACTTTCGTTCAGAAACCACAATGGTCAAAGAATAGGGGTTTGTCTTTTGTTAAAAAAAATACACGAAATCCACGAAATCAGGAATAACCTTCTATTGAGTTGAACTAATTTGAGGTAATTTTCGTGCCTAAAGATACTCAATAGATAACTTATAACCTTAGACTTGCCAATCTTGGAATTCTTCTCACTCATAAAATATAGAAAGATGACAGACAAGTCTTATCGTTCTACTCAACTGGTTGATAAAACTCACACGTCGTTAGCCTTATCGAATATTTCAAAGGAACAATCTATTTTTAAAAGAAATAAAATCCCTAAATCATAAATATTCTTTGAAAATGGTGACTGAACTTCGACCCTTGTGATGGGGAAGATCTCCTAAACCAATATCTTCCAATACTAGGTATGAAAACCATATCTCAACAGGCTGTGAGATTGTTTTGAGATTTGAACGAAACAACACAGTAATAGGCATATCAAGTTTACCAAAACATGGGTGATTTTTGTTTGAAATTTAGCCAGATTCCTTTCGATGCCGAGGCAAAGACTCTTAATGAAACATTGGGTTGTTTTTACAAGTTTAACTGAAAGTTTGTATTTATTAGAAGTAAAGTTATTTAGCTGTTATGCCCCCTAGGTGTAGGTCAATATCATGATTGAAATAGAGAACCAAGTGTGTGAAATTCTCCGTCTTATTCTCTAAAATAACAATTTATTTGTGCTATTTGTAGAAGAAAATAAACCAGCATGTTGGTTGATCATTTAATTAAAATAAATATATGTGACACAATTTCAAATCCTGATGGTTGCTATTTGAATGTGATTTAATACTGATTATATATTTTCATCAGCAAGTTTGATTAAACAAAATTTTCAATCACTGAATGTGTCTGTTATTCATATTAAATGAAAGATTTAATCAGTTAGCATGCATGAAACAGTTTCGAATGTGCTTTTTGCTGCTATGTAATGCAAATCATTTATAACCACAGAATAGTTGATAGATTGTTAAACTTGTACTAGACTTTAAGTTGTCGCTTCGCTATTCAGCAATTTTTTCAAAAAATAGGTGTGTACCATTCTTCGCCAGATGTTAGAATAATACAGAAGAAATGGTATAGGGGAAACCAAAACACTGCATATCCATTTATAGATAATATCTCAAGATGCCTTATTGAAAACAACAATTATTGTATTTGAAAACCATATTAAAATTTAGTCTAACTAAAGATAAAGCGCGATATGGACTGCTAGTATCATTACACCATTCACATTATTACATTATATCATTATATCATAATGTCGTTTCAGATTCACCTGATCCTTATAAACTAGATCTTTCTGTCAAGCCACGCAAAGAGAGAACAGCATTCACCAAACAACAGATAACTGAATTGGAAAAAGAGTTTAATATGCATAATTATTTAACCAGATTAAGGCGATATGAATTAGCAGTTGGCTTGGATCTTACAGAACGTCAGGTAATGTTTCTTAATATTTTCCTTTTCAGATATCACAAAAAATAACTATTTCAACTATAATGATACGACTCGATAGTTCTTAATATTTACTATAAGATCATTTATATCATCGTTTGGAAAGCAGAAAGTTAACAAAGGCGTGTGAAGGATCTACTACTAATTGAAGATATAATACATATCTGTAAAATATAATTGTGAACCCTTTGTCAAATACTATACTGCTTATATGATTCAATAAATCATAAAGATTAATATTCTAGAAATATCAGTTTCTTTCGCTCATCAACCATTAAACTCGTTACATTTTTAAGACTTTAAACATATCTCAATAGTACTTAAAAACATGAAATGAACTAAGGGTATATATAATATAGGAATTATTCAAAGGAAACACAGCTTTCAGATAGTTGAAGAACATACTCAAATATTTCATAATTTGGGGGGAAATGTCAAATTTTAATGCCATGTATTTAAATTTTCAGGTTAAAGTTTGGTTCCAGAATCGACGTATGAAATGGAAGCGAGTTAAAGGAACGAAAGTTGGTAAAGATAGAGTTGATGGACATGTTAAACCTATCATGGGTTCTAATATATCATCTACTAGTCTAGCTGATGATGATGATACTGTTTTATCAAATGATCTGGATTGTGAAGATGATATGGTGATGATTAAGTAATGATATATCAACATCGTTTGACAAAGGTTATTCAAGGTTGATAAACGTTAAGCCTTCTCCAGGTTAATGAATTCTGAGGCAATCTGGAATGGAAAAAATATTGAATGTAAACGAGAAATAGTTCTGGTAAATTGTGACAATGTGAAAATGTAAAATAAAACACTCATTTTCAGTGTTTATTACCAGACAATTTGACAGAAAAATTTCAATTTTTTTAGTAGACGAATTATTTGTATATTTTAAAACCAGAAGTATGTTATGTTAAGTTGTATTATGACCTGGTTTTATTTTAACTCAAGAAACAGAAAATTTTATCTGAAAATGCGGATTTAGGGAAGTGTAATTCAAGGTACATGGGATTAAAATGCCCAAAAATTAATATTCAATGTACATCTTCTTTATTGTACCGTACGTAAGGTGCACAAAAAATACTTTAAGCTCACATTTAATGGACTGATTTTATGAAAATGGGAAAATGCTCAACTTTATTATTATGTAATATAAAAATGTAAATAGACTTTATATCAATGATTTGTGCATAAAATGTTCACAATTATTTTATTAATAAAATGTTATTATTATGTCGAGGTTGTATATTATTAGAATATAAACGGATTAAGAAGGTGTTACAAGAGTAGCTCTAAGAATTTGGCGAAATGTATTAACAGAAGTAACGAATAGTCACAATAAATACGCACATACCAAAATATCAATTATGGTATATGTACCAAACTTTAGGTTTCAGGACGTAACAACAAAACCGCAGTCAATTTCATAATTTCACTTGTTTAAAACAGGTAATCTTTCAATTCCTATTTCTAGGGTATACTGACTATTGAAGAAATAAGGGTGATGATCATTTTAATTTGAAGAGAATTACGTCAGTGATATTGAATAACGCCGCCATTTTGTTTATTCCGGCGTGTCACGTCTGACATTTATCTGGCTGCTTAAAAATGACAAAAATGGCAGAATTTAATACAAACAACTTCTTAAGCTTGGTAAACTAATTTAGAAATACGGGATTTGGCAGGGCGAAAATCTTTCTCTATGGGGGTTAGTTATTTTTACTAATATTCTGACACCTGTGATGCTAACAGTCACATGTTCTGGCCAATCTTTTAGATCATTAGCACCTTTAGTTTTTTCTACTTTCGATTTGTTATTTGTACAGTCCAGAAGAAAACACACTATAAACATGATAATAAAGCTTGTTTGATTCGTGACATATTTGAGTATGAAGTTAATCTTGTCTAAGATTGACAGTATACAGCCAGCATGTCGATTGGAAATTAAATATTCAGTCTTCTTTAGATTTTCATGGCAGCTAATGATCTAAAATAATTACAAATTATTCAAGTTACAATTTCAATTGAAGCTATTAATTTTATAGATATGACACTAGCTCCATAACTGATCAACATGTTAGTTTTCTCACGAGGAGGTCGAAATGTGAGCAACTTTAGTTAAATCCTATCTGATCCTCCATACGACCCAAGTTCAAATCTAAAGATCAGCTCGAATGTACAATTAGTTGAGAAAATTTTCTTTTTTCCTGTTCAGTTAAGTTTCTACACACACGGTAAACAGCTGCAAAACTACTAAATTTAGATTAGAAGTCAGACCGATGGCGAAGAAAATGTTTAAGATATATCTAAATTTCGACTTGGTTTTAGATACGGTTTAAAAATACTGGAAGATAATTGGTGAATGCTAATTTAATAAACCAATTATCGATACAGCCGCATATTCTCTAACACAAATGAGTACATCATTTGCAAATCGTAATTTTCGAAGTAAAAAGGTAGAACGAGAGTTTAAAGATGGCGGAAAGACTTCTCATCATCTGGGGAAATCATCAAGATTTATGGTCGTCTTAATTCGGCTTTTGATGAGATTCACAGACATGAGTTTGAAGTAAAAACTGTTTGAAACTGTAAAATCTGTGTCTCAGTAGGCCCTGTGATAAAATGGTTCGGTATAAAATCCAAAACAAGACCGGCGCCAAACCGGTCTTACTTACATTATGAATAACTTAACTTCATACCACAAAACGGAAATATTGAATTTGTAAGATTATCAAATTTGGTGACGACATTATATGTGAAATAAAATACTCCATGATGTTGGCGTTACCATAATTATTTCTGAAATTGCAAAGGCTGTGTTATATTGCATGAATTTTAATAATCCATTCCCAATTTGTCATCCCCTTTCCGTGTCATTTACTATTCCGGTTGGCAATTCTGTGCGTTTGTGAATTTATACCATCTCCGATTTGCTAGAAATTGAATTATTAACACACATTTTGTTTATTCAAATTATAGAACTTAAAAGTCTTGTGCCTGTGTTTTCGCAACTTTGTTGGTACAAATTTACAACCTTTAAATAAAATACAAGATCATCAGAAAAAAATGTCGGCTTTCCAGCTGTGTAGGATAAAAATTCCGATTTATATGGAGAAATGAGCAGGCGAAGTACTGTCGCTGTTGCCGAATGACGATGAAGAAGAAATCTTCATTCGTTCCTGTGCCATTGAAACACATGCTAACAATAATCTTATTAAATCTACTTTTGTTTAAGAATTAGCTTCAGTGCTGGGGTCTTGCGTTTACCAATCTATATCAATTACAAACTAAAAGAATTGGAATACCGATATCGAAATATTAATCCGAACAGGGAACTCATTCAAGAACTGTTGTCATACTAATATGTATACAGTAGATATTGTTGATGTAGTGGGCAAATGTAAAATTTAAATGTTAGTTTTCGGGGAATGGTGTTCATCTTTTTGCAAGTAAAAGCAATATCTCGAGTAAATAGAAACTTGGGCAATATGCCATTATATCATATTAAATGGAAATGGATGTAATTGGTCCAAATACATATTTAGAAATATTTCTGGCATACGCATTGGATAATATCTAACCAATTTATAGGTTTTCTTTTGAAAAAAATCTACGGTATCAATGTGATTTATACGTTATGACTGGGAAATCAGCCTATTTATTTCAATATTTTTTTACATATAAAATGTTTGTGGATTTGTTAACATTCATATGCAAGAAAACACCTTTTCCACGATTACAATATTAGGAGGGATAAATGGGGAGTATTTGGCAGCACGAGTTGTTAAACTTCATTCAATTGAAGCATTATTTTTGAAACAGTTTATGTTATATTTTAGTATCTCTGGTTTTAGAAATGTTGCAATCACGAGGCAAAATGTTCTGAAATCAAAAGCTGTAGCCAATTTCATAACTTGTACAAGGCGTGATCATAATGAACATAATGCCTAGCTTTCAATAATGTTTCAGTGAGTATAATAATTACAAAAGTTACATGTATGCAAACATGTAAGCACTCTCATCTACTGTATAGTTCACGTGGGACCCCAATAAACAACGGCCTACTTTGAAACAGAATGGTTAATATTTTAATTAAAGTTACTTCCCTTGACATATGAGATTTGTTTTACTGTGACATCTAAATCTCAAAAATGAGCTTTCCTGTCAATGAAAATGACCAAATACAACGTTTGGCACGTTCAGCCGTTCACAGAATAAAAGTTTGAATAATATGTAGTCACTGTATATAATTCGTTAATCATTTCTTGTTCGGGGTTTTAATATTTCTTTTCAACTTATTCTATTAAATATACTAGAAACGATATTTGCTTAATATCCATCTAGAAAATACATCATATCCGACCGCACACGAAAATCATACAAAATGGGAGGTCTGTAAATAGCTATAAATTAGCTTAAATTGCTGAAGATTTTCCGAGATTAGTGAAGATTATCTCCTGTTTATTTTCATAAGAGGAAAAGGTAGCAAGCGATTTAATTCGTTAAATTTAATCCGAAAGATCAGGCTAATTGGTTAAAATGGATTATACTTCAACAGAACATGTCTTTTTCTAATAAAATTTTTAAAGTTTTGATGCATCAACATTGAAGTTGAAAGAAGTCAGATTTTTGCAAATATTTTAATTCAAACAGCATGTTATTTTATAGCATTTTTGGTATAAACTTTAGATTTTCAGTTATGATTTCTGCATTCAAAAATGTTAACCTTTTAAGAAAGTTCCAGAGATGATAAATCCCTGTCTCACAGAATTCCTGTTTGTTATCCCTTTATATAAGCTTTAGGGAAAATCTGTAAGAACTATTATTAATAGAGACGTTGGGCTCACTCTTTATTAAACTATTCCACAGTTTCTTGAATCCATTGATCTATATTTATATAAAATACAAATCCGTACAACAAACAAATCCGTTTAACAAAAATCGCCTCCAAAGCGTGAAAAAAATGGGAGCAATAATTGTATAATATTGGGCTCCTTAAACGAGAAGCGTCATTAGGTGTTTCGAAAAATTTTCATCTCTATGTTCAGGAGAAGCTGAAATGTAAAAAAAATACTTTTAGTATTAAATAGGTATACGATTACCAACGACAAGTGATATTGAACTTTTATATTGTTATGTTTATATTCCATTTTCCGAATAATCTACAGGAACAAAACATACAACAATCAAAACTTTTTTTTCTTATTCAAACTTCATTACAATTTTCGAAAATACTTACTTAGTTCTTCCCTAAAACTCAAGCTTGAAATTTATTTATTTATTCTAAAAGAAAGTTTATTTTCTGTCCATGTCGTATCATATTGATGTACCTACACTTGATGTAGAGTTCAAAATGGGCGGGATTTATCATTCAAATCGTTTATATGGTTCCGTGGTTTGACGTTGATTGGCTTTTGATGACATGAGAAGGAGGAGTTTGTTCCGCGTGCTGCCATTCTTCATAATATTCCTCCGCTACTGAGTTCCAGCCTGAGGACTATACATTATAAATCTGCCACCATAATGTAGCAATAATAAATGGTTGCTGGTCAAGAGATTTGCCGCTTAACTACTTTTGTTATGAATATTAAAGCCCAACTCTCAATATATTTGTCATCAATTGTAGGTAAATTGATTATGTTAATGAGTTATGAACTGACAAGGTGATTAGAGAGTGGACGACTATTTTCAAATAGTTTCGGGGGATTTCAATTTGTTCAGAGCAAGGTAATCTTTTAGATGTCTAGCTTATCTCTAAGAGTTAGATTATCGCAACTTTAATGCCCGTCTTCTTTCACGATTTGCACCAATATAAACAAATGTGTCCCCATGTTCTCGATGTTAATTTCAGTCCTAAAGAGCCGTTCCTTTTCCAGACAATTTACATCTGAAACTGTTATTACAGTCCTAAGTCATTCCTGATCAGTTACAATATTATACACACAATATATTTGAATGGGAAAATGGGCACAAGTACGATGTGGATTGCACCGACCTGATAATAATTACTGTACTAGATTCCGGGCTGATCTAAAATGAAAATATTGATATTAAAAGTTCTCATTGATTTAAGAGTGTAGTGATAGAAGTAATATTTTCTAGAAGTAAATAGTATACCTGACATATATCATTATACCGGCCATAAAGATCCGTATTTAAGACATTATTCCTTCTCTTCTTTATCGCTCTTAACATTTATAGAAATTGTAGGGTACAGACCTTGCCTTTGTAAAATTGTAAGATAACGTCATTGAATATGATTTTTCATAGTTTTACTCCATGTAAATTGAACTTTTGATAAAATTGCGAGTTTTCCAAGGCAAATCCATCGCTTTTTCTCCAACCCCCTAAAACATTTTGTGATGTATGGGAGTAATAACTATTATATCACTAGATATTGTAAAACATAATTTGTGTGAGTATTAAGACAATAGATACAGACACATACATCTACGATAACACAACTTTGATTCAAGAAAACTTCCAGAATCTGGTGGCAATAAACCCAGGTGCTGAAATTAAATGATAAATAAAAAAATTCTTAAAAAATTGGTAAAATGCGGGATTGGTTTTCGAAATCTTACGTAGATTAACATTCAAACGAAAATATTCCTGTAAGATTTGTGAGAACTAATGCAAAAATAATCCCATAATTAGAAAATAGATCTTGAAATAAATGCATAACATTCCCATTATCCGGGTGGTCTCGCCGGTTTTTTACTTTATGATTTTAACATGCGTGTAATCTTATAGCCAGTTGTTTCTGATAGGATGACTGATAAAATTTAAACGTTTTACCAAACATTATTTCTTTCCAGATTACAGTAAAGTTGTCAATTTGTTACAGTTCTTACCTCATGCTTGATGAAGCAAGGATGATATAGAATTTGTAGCTGGTAGCGTGCAATTGTTTTAAAATGATGCACAACATTACAGCGACATTAATGACAATTTTACAGTTCTAGTGAAATATTTGGTGTATTTTATGGGTGTAAAACTACCACATTAAATAGTATTATCTTACACAGAATAGCGTTGTAAGAATTATAATTTACTAACAACTGTTGTAGAAGGAATGTTCAAATCTTTACACAAACAACTGTTGCTTGTATGCAATTCAAAAAACATACACTGGGTTTCTTTAGGTTCACGTTAGAGTGAAAAAAGAAGAAAAAAATGGTGATTTTCAATGCATCCAATACACACAATTTTTGTTTCTTCAATACATCATGTTACGGCAGCATACAGACACTATTTCAAGTATTAAGCCCTCATCACAAAACTAAAACTTAGAGAAAAATTAACTAAACGTTAATATCTTTCTGTAATGTCTAAATCATGTCCAAAACGAATTTAAGTATCACTTTCTCAGACTATACCATACCATTATGTTTATAAAGAGAATGAAAATAATATCAACTAAACCATAAACACAATGTTAAAATTAAGATCAGTAAGAACTAGAAACTTAGTAAAATGTTCTAAAAATCAATTTATGGAGATAACATAACTTAAAGATATCTACAAATATATATTTCTTTTATCGGCAGACATCAAAGAGATATCTTGGGTTACAAACATAGTATATATTTATAAGTATATATTTATGTTTACCACTGTAAACAATATTTATTATGGTATATCTTCTCTATCACTCTCAAACTTCAGATATTTACCTAGACCAGATAATCTCAGACAAATGTATCAAACACAGATTACATTTGTTCTTATTCGTTAAAATAATCTAACAGATTATACCGCACTTGAATTAAACTGATTATTTTTATGTGTAAATTGAATACAGAATGTCATTATAACTGATCCCTATAGAATGACGTTAAGCCGATAAAAATATGATTTTTTGTAAGTTTAATTTTATATAGACCTTCATCTCCCTGATAAGATAAAAACATGTGAATGTTATATTTTACTCTACATAATCGATAAAGTTAGATTTATCTTCGATGGTACGGAGAAATGAAATAAATATATAGACTTTTTAGTCATTGTGTATCAGCAGCACTTGCAACCGTTACGAATTTCTTTTTGAAGTCTTTTTTAAAGCATATTTTTCCCAGGCAAAGAGCAACAAACAACGATGTCTCACAATGTGTTTCTGGAAATTTGAGTAAATGTTAACATAATGTTTTCAGAATATGAAGGTAATAATTAAACGAAAAACAATCAGAGAATAATGGTGTATCTTGTCTTTGATGCCGCAACTTTGTCTGAATAAAAGATAGAAGAGGAGAAAACTTTGTTGGTGGAAATGTCAAGAGTCACGTAGTGATCACTTCCTAATGTTTAGAAAACATGTCGTAGAAATCATATAATTCTCGCCAGTCCGAGAATAATTTCTTCACTAGCAAAATCCTTAATTTCAAGTCTTTCACCATAATTTAATAAATTCGAATACGGCGAAAATATAAATACGCTGATCAATTTTTTGCTTTTTCTAGAGCAAGAGTGACAATGATTCTTTGAATATTGTGAACGTGTCTACATATCGAATCCTATCGCAACAACCTAAATTATGTTTGGGTATCGTACAAAATATTCTCACTTATCTAAAGGGTCCCCACACCATTGCGATCACCATTTGCACGATAGGTTTTATAAGCTTCAGGAATACAAGAAGCGTACTTACTAAAACATGAACCGACCAGAAACGACGGACGAAAACGTGAAACGACCAGGAACCGAGCAGGTAAACGACAGGAAGCGAACTCAAACTATTTTGCCATAAATTACAATCAAGCTAATTAGTCCAAACAAGTAATTAATTTTGTAAAACAATATGCATTTGGGAGGAGTGGTTGTTTCTGGTCGTTTTCTGGTCGGGTCATGTTTTATTAGGTACGACAAGAAGCACGCAAGTGATCGCAGAGTGAAATTGTCCTCGCACCAATTTCCAATTCTAAAATTGTCCACAGAAAATATAAAGAATTTTATTAATCAAAACTTTTATCACAGATTATGCTACATAAATCAGTTGCTCTACTTGTACTTTTATACTTCCATCATCCATCTTATCGTTTTAACATAACTTTCTCTAGAGCTAAGAATGGTGCTTCAACTACTACCGAGATAATAAAACTAGCAGCATAAGTTATAGCAAATATACCAATATAGTTGTTCATCTGAAATATATAAAGATAGCTTGTTAAGCACAATAACATACACCAACGGTATCGAATGACGTCATAATATTCATTTGTATAATTATTCGGAAAAGGCTAAGTGATTGGATTTATTATTAAGCTATGTAAAGTTTATAAAGATTAGCACGTAAAGCCCTGAAAATTCTTTCTAATCAAAATTATTCATTTTCAAAATTTGACCTTCTGCATTTTAATTCATGACTAAATCAGTCTATTTTTGGAAATTGAATTTCTAAATCTAACTCGATCTTTGCATTTTATTCTTAAAATTCCTATTAATCATTCTTGAAAATTATATTTTTAAATGTAAAACGTATATTTTCAGCATTTCTTGAGTGTATGTGTGAAATGATGAGTTTACTTACGATATAAAACCCATTTGTATATCCAAAACCTCTCATATTTCCAGTAAACGAGGCCATGACTATCAAATGAATTAAATAAGCTGCATATGTTAATCTAGAAAGTGGTATCCAGGCTCCCCATGATAATATTGTATTCACAAAACCTGAAATTTTAAACAACAAAATTAATTTTAATGATAGTGTCAAATAAATATAGAAAATAAACAAGATAAGCTATGTAGACTAGGAAGGTTAAATATAACAATGGTATCAAAGTCGTATCAGGTGTCCGGAATGGGCCATAATGCCATAGTAACACTCACGTAAGGAAAGGTTTATGCTTACCACTTACAAAAATATTTTCAGATATGTTGGTGGCTGACGTTTGCAGAAATGAGCCCGAGAATTATGTTGTTTCTTTGCTTCATCGACAAAGAATGACAATCAGAAATGATTAAACTTACCGCCGTATCCGTGAACACACACAAATATTAACCAAAACAATACTAAAGCCCAGACAAGTCTGAATAATGTTTGAAAGGTGATATTAGAATCGGGTCCCCATGGTGTATGATCTCCAATAACCTGATCATATGTTAGGTAGTTTACTAATAAACCTGCAGTACCTGCTACTAGTGTTCCAACAAACAATACTACCTATAATGTATTAATATAACAATAATACTACCTATAATATATTAATATAACAATACTACCTATAATACATTAATATAACAATACTACCTATAATACATTAATACAACAATACTACCTATAATATATTAATATAACAATACTACCTATAATACATTAATATAACAATACTACCTATAATATATTAATATAACAATACTACCTATAATATATTAATATAACAATACTACCTATAATACATTAATATAACAATACTACCTATAATATATTAATATAACAATACTACCTATAATACATTAATATAACAATACTACCTATAATATATTAATATAACAATACTACCTATAATACATTAATATAACAATACTACCTATAATATATTAATATAACAATACAAACTATAATACATTAATATAACAATACTACCTATAATATATTAATATAACAATACTACCTATAATACATTAATATAACAATACTACCTATAATATATTAATATAACAATACTACCTATAATACATTAATATTACAATACTACCTATAATATATTAATACAACAATACTACCTATAATACATTAATATAACAATACTACCTATAATATATTAATATAACAATACTACCTATAATACACTAATATAACAATACTACCTATAATATATTAATATAACAATACTACCTATAATGTATTAATATAACAATAATACTACCTATAATGTATTAATATAACAATACTACCTATAATATATTAATATAACCATACTACCTAAAATATATTAATATAACAATACTACCTATAATATATTAATATAACAATACTACCTATAATATATTAATATAACAATACTACCTATAATATTAATATAACAATACTACCTATAATATATTAATACAACAATACTACCAATAATATATTAATATAACAATACTACCTATAATATATTAATATAACAATACTACCTATAATATATTAATATAACAATACTACCTATAATATATTAATATAACAATAATACTACCTATAATGTATTAATATAACAATACTACCTATAATATATTAATATAACAATAATACTATCTATAATGTATTAATATAACAATATTACCTATAATGTATTAATATAACATATATTAATATAACAATACTACCTATAATATATTAATATAACAATACTACCTATAATATATTAATATAACAATACGAACTATAATATATTAATATAACAATACTAACTATAATATATTAATATAACAATACTACCTATAATATATTAATATAACCATACTACCTATAATATATTAATATAACAATACTACCTATAATATATTAATATAACAATACTACCTATAATATATTAATATAACAATACAAACTATAATATATTAATATAACAATACTACTTATAATATATTAATATAACAATATTACCTATAATATATTAATATAACAATACTACCTATAATATATTAATATAACAATACTACCTATAATATATTAATATATGACCAGTCTGAGAATAGGTTATGTAGTTACTATACTAGTCTCCAGTTGTAATAGTGTAATTAAAGCAATATTACCAATAGTAACGTGAGGTGTTGCCCCTCTGTCCATTTGACCCACTTTTTTAAGGACGCTTTTTGGATGACATTTTTATGGTTTGGACTTATTCAATCGAACAGTTTTGGGAATTCTTTGAAATTCTCAACAACCACCATCCTTCTATCAAACTAACCGCAAACGTGAGTGACAAAAGCATAGACTTTCTCGATACTACAGTCTTTAAGGGAGATTCCATAGCAGAAACAAATAAACTGGATATTAAAGTGTATTTCAAAGAAACTGATACTCATCAACTCTTGCACAAGAGCTCCTTTCACCCAAAACATACCTTTTCTGGTATAATTAAGTCACAAGT